GAAATTATTGTAGAATGGTCTCCGAGGAAGAGCTCTATTGTTGATATCAGTGTGGCGTTTTAAGCTTTTAATAATCCCAGTGTATGTACAGATAGATATATCTTTTGACTCATTGAGAATGAGTCTAGATACTGTTTAGAGCCTTTTGTAAATACATACTTAACTTATTACAATGATGTGGTAATAAGGCTAGTAATAAATGTTATGCTCATGGTGTTAAGGTATGAGAAGGTCTGTTGTAAATATTAAATGATTTAATCCATAACGGAATCTTTAAGTGATTTTAAGGTTGTTAATAAAATGAACAGGAACTAGAAATGTACCTTTTCCCCCATAAGTAAGCCTAGTGCATGATGACCCCTAGACCTGATAATCCTGTTCGTTTGTTACGAGAAGCACTATAACCAAGTGACCAACAGGCTATGTTTGTAACATTTTCCTTATTCCTTTTTTTATATTTTTATCTTAAAATTAATAAGTTATTTAATAAATTGACCCTTTCCTCTTTTCATTCACCTGTAAATGCCTCTGTTTTTACCTAGCAGATGTTTTAGTCTGTTGTTTGCCCATTTAATGTCATTTGCATTTGACCTAATTTTATTAGAAATACAGTGGAACCTCGACTTATGAGTGTCCCAACATATGAGTTTTTTGAGATACAGTAGAACCTCAGATTACGAGTTCAATCTGTTCCGTGACCTTGCTTGTATCCTGATCTGCTCATATGCTGTCAATTTTCCTCATTTAAATTAATTGAAATGCCAGTAATCCATTCCATCAGAATTCCTACTCTGGGAAGCAGGACAAGAATACTTCAATATGACGCTAATATCAACTCTGTGGCTTACTTATCTATCACAATTCATCTAATATGACATAATAAACAATATAATTAACATAGAAACATGATGCGTGTATACTCTAGAATGAATAAAATAGGCCATAATATGGCAAATGGTGAAGGCAGCATCCATTCTCTCTCCTGCTAACTATATCTTCCCATGCTTTTATTATAAGAGAAAACAGAGTGTTTGTGAGGCTTACTGCTCTAATTCATAAATAAGTTTCATAAATAAGAAATATTGTATAAAAACATAATAGAGAATGTAAAGAAATAAAGTGGTTTTATTATTATTATTATTATTATTAGTTTAGGGAACTGGAGCACAGATTCAATTCCCTTGAGCCTAGACCAAGAGCCCCTCACCAGCATCAAGGAACCTCCCTTGAGGGGGAAGCTCGCATTCTGAATTTTGGCTCGTATCCAGAAACAAAAAATCGACCGAGTGACGGCTCGTATCCTGAAAAACTTGCATGCTGGGGTACTCGTAAGCCTAGGTTCCACTGTACAAACTGTTGCTCGGTCGATTTTTTGCTCCAAGTTATGAGCCAATATCCGAGTTACAAGTGCGCTCACCCTTCAACCCACACCTCGCTTGTTTATCTATGATTTCATGCTGTAATTCCATGGAAATCATCCTCTTTTTCTTCTCAGCACTTTCCTTTGTGCTTACTTTCTTAGGGCCCATGGTTAGAAAAAAAGAAATTTAGCCAAATAAGTGTAAAAAAAAATGCAAGCAAAGCACAAGAGAAATGCTTCCACTGCTCAGCAGATGTTTTGGCATTCACTGCACCAACTAGTGGCAGTGTTCTGAAGCTCGTTGTTGTTATTATTATTATTATTATTATTATTATTATTATTATTATTAATTTAGGGAACTGAAGCCCCTCACCAACATCAAGGTTCCTTGATGCTGGTGAGGGGCTCTTGATCTAAGCAATTGAATCTGTGCTCCAGTTCCTTAAATAATATTAATTATAATAATAATGAGCGAGCTTCAGTTTCCTAAATTAATAATAATAATTATTATAGTAATAATGACGAGCTTCAGAACACTGCCACTAGTTGGCGCAGCAAATGCCAAAACATCCGCTGAACAGTGGAAGCATTTCTCTCGTGCTTTGCTCACATTTTTTACAGTTATTTAGCAAAATTTCTTTTTTCTAACCATGGGTCCTAAGAAAGTAAATGCAAAGGACTGTGCTGAGAAGAAAAAGAGGATGATTTCCATGGAATTACAGCATGAAATCATAGATAAGCAAGGTGTGTGGGCTTGAGGCAGTACGAGCGTAGTAGTAAGTAGATTATCTTCCACCCTCCACCTCCACCAGCATATGTACTCTTTATAAAACCAGTTTATTTCTCTACATTGTCTATTATGTTTTATGTTTTTATACAATATTTCTTACTTATAAATACACTGCTTCAGTGTTTTCCTTATGAAATTAGTGATCTAGTGTAGTTAGCCTCACAAAAACTGTTTTCAGAAAGAGAAGAATGGGAAGATATGGTCACTGCAAGAGCGGCAATGGCCGGCATCACCATTTATCACATAATGTATTTTATTCATTCTAGAGTATATATCATGTTTCTGTTATTTTTAGTAAGTAAGTTTATTCAGGTATACACAAGTACAGTTACATAGATTATCATACATAGCAGCATATGTGTAAAGAACCTAGGATAACCCAAAAAAGTTAGTGACTTATTTCCATTGTTTATTATATCATGGTAGATTAATTGTGGTAGATAAATAAGTCATAGAGTTGATATTAGCATCATATCGAAGTATTTTGTCCTGCCTCCCAAGAGCAAAATTTTGCTGGAACGGATTAATGGTATTTCAATTAATTTAAATGAGGAAAATTTATTTGATATACGAGCAAATTGAGTTACGAGCTAGGTCATGGAACGGATTAAACTCATAGGTTGAGGTTCCACTGCATATGCAGCTTGGGCAGCTTATACAATGCTTTGGAAAAAGTCACATTAACACTCATCGCCATCATACATCAGCCTTCCTCATGATAGTCCCTGGTAAAGTTATTCTGGTCCATGCTACTGCTAGGCCCATATAATTTGCAGAGTGAAAATTAGAGGCCTTATCTTTGTTATCATTTAGATAATTCCATGAAATAATGAAGTTAAGTGATTTAGGTTTGCTTTCTCCTAGCTCTTCATTAAACTCAAGGTTATTATCAGAGATTCCTTGTTTACTAGAACTAGATCAAGCAGATTATTTCTGCTAGTTGGTTCTAACATGTTTTGAACTGCAGTCCAAAACTACAGGAGGGCCCCATTCATTCAGCATCCTCTTTTTGGTGTTTCACACTTTTGTTAGTTTTGAATTGAGCCATTGTTCATTATGTTTAGTGCTTTTTCCACTTTTCCACCGTTTTTGTTATTTTCGCATAACGGTTGCACATTTATTTATTTATTTATTTATTTATTTTAGAAATTTTAGCATACATACAGAGATACAAAAAAAATACAGGTAAGAGCAGCATGCCAAAGCCACTTATATGCATAGCATTACGGGCTGGCTTAAAATTAACTTAAGATTAACTAAGCAATAATGAAATCAGTGATAAGACATTATTGTAAACAGATAACTATAAAGCACAAATGAGTATTACAAAGACAGGTCATATGGTTGCATGCATTGCTGTTCATTCAGTAGAATGGAGTATTCTGTTAGGTAGTGTATTTAAAAAAATAACAAAGTTAGTTGGGTCCTGGTTTTTAAAATTTATGTGATATAATTGTGAGTAACATTGATATACAATTTATAAGGTTCATTTTCAGTATTTAATTTTTAAATGAGGAATTTTTTTTTTTGGAAAGGGAAATGGTTCGGTGGTCAGGGCCCCCTTTAAAAAAATTAGGCCACGCATGCATTGGAGTAAAATTTTTGGAAAAGTATTAATAATCCGAATTTGTGGTCTATTTTCGTATGGTAAATTTTGGTTTATCTCTTTCATGGCCTCAATTTGATAGAATGGAAACTATTTAAGAATGGGGTATTTTATTAATTTTACTATAAAAAGAACCTGAAATGGAGCAAAAGTACAGAAACATGTTTTAATTGGCCGTGTCAAAATACAATGATACTAGTCCAAAATGTCCAATAGCCTTCTAATACGCAGTCTGAATGGAAAATAAGAGGCCATTATTTACAATTTTTACATGTTTGCAGTATTGCATAACATTAAATCTCTATTTTTTTTTGAATAAATTTCAAAATAAACGATAATATCACAGGACCTGGAGACATGACTTAAAAAAATTTATTTTAGAGCCAGGAATTTGCATACATCAGACACCTTATTTTGAAATGCGTATTTTTAAATTTCGTAATGCCAAAGCAAATTTCTGACCATGTTAGGTAATTGAAATCGGTAAATGGCATTACTTGTGCTCAATCAATAAAAAACAAGATTCTAAGAAAAGTTATGATTGGTTGACTGAATACGGAATTATCCAGAAAATGGGTTTTAAGTGGCGAAATTCAATTTTAAAATATTCGCCGAGTCCTAACTTTCGGAAAAGCGTAATTCCGTCATTTTCCATCAATTTTCGTTTTTTGTGTTTTACAATCGGGAAGAGATTCTTATCATTCAAATAAAAATTTTTTTTTATTTTTCGAATATTTGCGACACTCTGCAATCTCAGGATTTGGCCCTTCGACAGTCAAAGGGGTTAACAGTCATAAAAAGGGCCCTCCTACATTTATAAAAGTTGGTAGAGACTAGATTTCTTGTCAGTTTTATTAAAGTTAAAAACCTCCCTTTAACCCTTAAACGGTCCAAACAGATTGACGTTCAAATCCGTAGTGCTCCAAAAGTAGATCTACGTTTTTTTTTTACATATTTTCAAAAATAAAAAAAAAATGTAGATAAAAGTTTTTTTTTACACATTTTTAAATGTAAAACAAGAAAGATCTACATTTTTTTACATACTTTCAAATGTTGAAAAAACGTATATATACGTTTGGACCATTTAAGGGTTAATATTATTTTTATTTCTACATGCCTTACCAGTTTAGCCCCATGAATCAGTGGTAATCAGTAGCCTCCCCCATCCCCCCCCCCCCCCAAAAAAAAAAAAAAAAAATACTGTATCAAGGCATTGATGAAGTTAATTATGGATTTCTCTTCTTGCAGAATTTAGGGAGTGCTTCTCCTTGTATGCTCGCAATGGACAGATTCGCACCCTGGATCAGCTGACAGTAATTATGCGTTCCCTAGGCATGAGTCCAACTATTTCCGAACTAAAAAAATATTTCAAGGATAAAGGTAAGAGTAAATCTTTATCACTATTGTATTTTATTTAAGTAATAGTTTATAACCCCTCAAGGGAGATGTCTTGATGCTGGTGAGATATTCATAGTCTGAGGAGTTGGACGTGTTCTCCCCTTGGTATGAACTCAGTTGCCTTCCATTCCCCAAGTGCTATATGTCCCTGTGGGTTGAATGTTTTACCCTCAGTAGGATAATGATGAATAGTTCATGAAAGTATATTTTCACATTACAGTATATTTTACACTTTCAGTTTATATTTATTTACAACTTTGTTTACACTATTTTTCCAACATTCAGTAAGAAGAATGTTATTTTTTTTTTTAACACGCTGCCCGTCTCCTACTGAGGCAGGGTGACCCAAACAAGAAACACTCACCATCATTCTCACTAACACTGTCTTGCCAGAGGTGCTCAGATATGACAGTTTAGATGTCGCTAAATGACAAATGTCCCAAACCCCTCCTTTAGAATGCAGGCACTGTACTTTCCACCTCCAGAACTCAAGCCCAGCTAACTGGTTTTCCTGAATTCCTTCACAAAATATTACACTGCTCACACTCCAACAGCTAGTCATGTCCCAAAAACCATTTGTCTTCACTCATTCCTATCTAACATGCTCACATATGCCTGCTGTATGTCCAAGTCCCTTGAACACAAAAATCTCCTTTACCCCCTCCCTCCATCCTTTCCTTAGGATGACCTTTCCTCTTGGATGACCCCCTACCCCCTGTTCTTTATTTCCCCACAAAGATTTCCAATCCTGTAAACCTATAAACTGCCTGCTTTTCATTATACAGTATTTACATAACTAAACTGTATGCTGAATTGTAAAAGCATTCTGGTTTATAGTAAATTATTGCAATTACAGGTGGCAAGATGAGTTTCCCAGACTTTCTTGATGTGATGCACAAGCACAGTCAAATGGAAAAAATACCTGAAGAAATTTTGGCAGCTTTTAGAGGTCACGACCCCAAGAAAACTGGAACCATACCCGCACGAGAGTTGCGCCATATTCTTCTCCAATGGGGTGAATGCCTCAGTAACAAAGAAGGTAAGATACGTAGTTTCTTCAGTATCTTTTCAATTTAAATTTCAAATTCTTTATTTCCACATGATACAGCATTTGTACACATATGATGCTCTGACTTTTTTGGGTTATCCTAGGTTCTCTACACATATGCTGCTATGTATGATAATCTATGTAACTGTATTTGTGTATACCTGAATAAACTTACTTACTTAGAAATAGATGACAATTATCCCTTTCAGTGTTGTGACCCCTGATCCTTAACTCACTGTCGAAAAAATTTCAAAAGAAAAAAATTGTTTTTTCTTATGAAATGATAGAGAATCTTTTCCCAATGGTAATGACACCAAAAGTACGAAATTTCATGGCAAACTTATGAAATTACGCTCTCTCGAGGTTAGCACTCTCGGCTATATTTATGCTTCAGCGATTTTTGCCCACTTTGAGCCCTATATTCGGCCAATTCCAGTGTTCCAGTCGACTAAAATCGTAGCTATTTCGCTAGAACTTCGTTTATTCTATCGACCGAGTACGAGAAATCGCCCATTTACTGATTTCAACTATCCAATAAAGTGGTCAAAATTTGGCAATTTGGCCAATTTCACACAAATTTCAAAAGATGCCAATTTCAAAATAGTCCAGACTAAACAAGGCAGACATTCCTGGCATTAAAGTAACATTTTCTCTGTTCATTAGTCACATCTCCAGGCCCCTCTTATATTACTCTTGCTTTCCATTTAGAATTTTTATTCTCACAAAAAATAGAAGATTTACTGTTATGCAGACTACTGCATTATTATAATAATTGTATAAATAATGTCAACTCATTTGTGACTGTGTATTAGACTAGCCAATTGGACACACATTGGACAGCAGCGTCATATGTTTACTCTTGAACATTGGCAAAAATCGAAAATTTCCGCTACTTCGAGTGCAGTTTCAAGGTACTTTTCATTGTGAACATGACTTCTATTCTATCAAATGAGACCAAGGAAACGAGAATACAACCATAAATACCATACGAAAATACACCACTGAGTTGCTGTTTTAAACCAAAAACATGGTCAGAGTTTTTTTTCTCATTATGCACTGCTTGCTACAGTTTTTTTTTATACTGCGTACACTGATCACGCAGACCCATTCTTTCATATGTAGGCCTACCAGCTTTCTTCCACCAGATTTGAAGTCGTTAGAATTTTGGCATAGTACTACGGGACCGACACTGAAAGGGTTAATAATAGGCATGCACTGCATAATAACATTTCAGTCAGCAGTGGACTGTATATATGATGTAAACAAATCTACACTGCTAGTTGTATAAAAAGTATAGCACATGCAATTATGTGCAGTACATAATACTTGATAATGATGATAAACAACTATGTTACTGGTTTATGTATTTATTATACTGTACTTTTTATCAATATTCTAGAGTGTACTCTTTCTACTTGTAAAAAATAAAAAGTTTACTGTAAAACAGTATGGGGTATTACACCAACAGCAACCTCATACATCTTGTGTTTACTGTGTCTCATCTCATATTTTGTTCGTCATGGCCCCTGCAGGAGAAGAAAAAGAAGAACCTCAAAGAAAATTCACAGTGAAGGGTTTAGCAGGTTTTGCAGACCTCAACAAGTTCCTTAAAAAAATTTGAAAACATTAACACACCACTGAAAGGTTTTCATTAGTAGAGAGAAATGTACATGGAGCATCATCTGCTTACAAGCAAATCTATGATGAAAAAAACAAACCATATAGCTTAGGTGAGTAGTAACCTATACCATCTAGGCTTGTTTAAGTACACTCTGTGACGTTCGCACAACAAAATCGTCTAGCAGCACATTTCTCAGAACATATCCCCACCGTTAAGTGACACATGACCATATTGCACATGGAAAGCCCCTAATTGTATTGAGTATTTTGAATAAGCTAAAACCTATGACTAAGAGGACAGTAAACCTTTTACATGCATGTACAATAGGTGTCATAAATATACACATACATAAACAGATCACACAGACTACTTACCATAACTTATTGTTTTAAACATAAAATATGTATGTACTGAAATAATGTTGCTCACCTAAACTAGTATTTTCTAGGACTCCCCTTTCTATTCATTCACTCTGTCTGACTTTTTTGGGTTATTCTAGGTTCTCTACACATATGCTGCTATGTATGATAATTCTATGTAACTGTATTTGTGTATACCTGAATAAACTTACACTGATAAGGCTAACTTATGGAGTGCAGAAAAGTTAATACCCTCCCATACCTGCTTAATGGTATTTTGATGAACTTTTAAATGTTAATGAAGAAAGGGAGGTGGTAATTTCATGCACTGGCCAGGGAGGTATACCATCTTTTAGGAGTGAAGAAGAACAGGATGTGAGTTTAGGGGAGGTGCACGAGGCATTACGTAGAATGAAAGGGGGTAAAGTAGCTGGAACTGACGGGATCATGACAGAAATGTTAAAAGCAGGGGGGATGTAGTGTTGGAGTGGTTGGTATTTTTGTTTAATAAATGTATCCCCTCAAGGGAGGTTCCTTGATGCTGGTGAAGGGCTCTTGATCTAGGGAATTGGATCTGTACTCCAGTTCCCTGAATGCCTTCCATCTCCCCCACATGTGCTGTATAATCCTCTGGGTTTAGCACTCCTCCATGATTATATAAAATTAATAAATGTATGAAAGAGGGGAAGGTACCTAGGGATTGGCAGAGAGCATGTATAGTCCCTTTATATAAAGGGAAGGGGGACAAAAGAGATTGTAAAAATTATAGAGGAATAAGTTTACTGAGTATACCAGGAAAAGTGTACGGTAGGGTTATTATTGAAAGAATTAGAGGTAAGACAAAATGTAGGATTGTGGATGAGCAAGGAGGTTTTAGAGTGGGTAGGGGATGTGTAGATCAAGTGTTTACATTGAAGCATATATGTGAACAGTATTTAGATAAAGGTAGGGAAGTTTTTATTGCATTTATGGATTTAGAAAAGGCATATGATAGCGTGGATAGGGGAGCAATGTGGCAGATGTTGCAAGTACAGTGGACCCCCGCCATACGATGGCATCGCGTTACGTTAAATCCGCTATACGATGCATTTTAATGCAAAAAGTTTGCCTCGCCTCACGATAAAAAACTCGCCAAACGTAATTCCTCCCAAACCTGTCCGTCCAGCCTGAGCGCATCAGCTGGACCGTCGTCATTGTTTACAAGCCAGGGTGGCCGGTTGCACGCATACATTCGATACATTTTGTATTATTCCATTGTTTATAGCGCTTGTAACTGCTAAATAAGCCACCATGGGCCCAAAGAAAGCTTCTAGTGCCAACCCTGTGGTAAAAAGGTTGAGAAATACTATTGTACCACAGTCAGCTGTTGCTGCACCATGGTCAGCTGTTGCTGTACCATGGTCAGCTGTTGCTGTACCACAGTTGCTGCTGCACCACCATCAGCTGCTGCTGCTGCACCACTGTCAGCTGTTGCTGCACCACGGTCAGCTACTGCTGAACCACGGTCAGCTGCTGCTACACCACAGTCAGCTGCTGCTGCTGCACCACAGTCAGCTGCTGCTGCTGCACCACAGTCAGCTCCTGCTGCTGCTGCTGTACCACAGTCAGCTGCTGCTGCTGCTGCACCACAGTCAGCTGCTGCTGCTGCTGCACCACAGTCAGCTGCTGCTGCTGCTGCACCACAGTCAGCGCTGCTGCTGCTGCTGCTGCACCACAGTCAGCTGCTGCTGCTGCTGCACCACAGTCAGCTGCTGCTGCTGCTGCACCACAGTCAGCTGCTGCTGCTGCACCACCACAGTCAGCTGCTGCTGCTGCACCACCACAGTCAGCTGCTGCTGCTGCACCACCACAGTCAGCTGCTGCTGCTGCACCACAGTCAGCTGCTGCTGCTGCTGCACCACAGTCAGCTGCTGCTGCTGCACCACAGTCAGCTGCTGCTGCTGCACCACAGTCAGCTGCTGCTGCTGCACCACAGCTGCTGCTGCACCACAGCTGTTGCTGCACCACAGCTGTTGCTGCACCACAGTCAGCTGTTGCTGCACCACCATCAGCTGCTGATGCACCACTGTCAGCTGTTGCTGCATCACCATCAGCTGCTGATGCACCACTGTCAGCTGTTGCTGCACCACGGTCAGCTGTTGCTGCACCACGGTCAGCTGTTGCTGCACCACGGTCAGCTGTTGCTGCACCACGGTCAGCTGTTGCTGGACCAGTCAGCTGTTGCTGGACCAGTAAGCTGTTGCTGCACCACGTATGGCTTAATCATCCTTAATGGATAACAATTACCGAGAAACGATTAACCCCAGAGGGTTAGCCACCCAAGATAACCCAAGAAAGCCAGTGCATCATCGAGGACTGTAAATTATTTCCATTGGGGTTCTTAATCTTGTCCCCCAGGATGCGACCCACAACAGTTGACTAACACCCAGGTGAACAGGACAAAATGCCTGGAACTAGTGCTCATATTGGTGAATTTAAGGTCAACAAAGGTTGGTTTGAGAGATTTAAGAATTGTAGTGGCATACACAGTGCGATAAGGCATGGTGAAGCTGAAAAATTCCAACCCCAACAAGTGTTCAATTGTGACGAAACAGGCCAGTTCTGGAAGACAATGCCAAACAGGACCTACATTACTCAGGAGGAAAAGGCACTCCCAGGACACAAGCCTGTGAAAGACAGGCTAACTCTCATGTTTTGTTGTAATGCTAGTGGGGATTGCAAAGTGAAGCTTTTACTCATGTATCACTCTGAAAATCCCAGTGTTCAAGAAAAACAGTGTCTCATCACTCGTCAATACTCTTCAATAAAGGTAAGTGTCATTTTAACATTTATTTATGTAGTTATTGTGCATGTCTCATTGTTTTCTTTGTAGGGAAATGTATATTTCATGAAAAAAAAAAATTCATACTTTGGGGTGTCTTGCACGGATTAATTTGATTTCCATTATTTCTTATGGGGAAAATTAATTCGCCTTATGATAATTTTGGCATATGATGAGCTCTCAGGAACGG